TTTTGAGATGAAGTCTCGCTCTGTCGCCAGGCTAGAATGCAGTGGCACGATCTCGGCTCACTACAACATCTACCTCCCGGGTTCACGTGATTTTCCTGCCTCAGCCTCCCGAGGACCTGGGACTACAGGCGCCCTCCACTGCGCCCGGCTAATTTTTGTATTTTAGTAGAGATGGGTTTCACCGTGTTGGCCAGGATGGTCTCGATCCCCTTACCTCATGATCCGCCCGCCTCGGCCTCCCAAAGTGCTGGGATTAGAGGCGTGAGCCATGGCACCTGGCCCAGCCTCCGTTTTTTTCATTTGTAAAATGGGGATGATAACAGTGTGACCTCAGAGGGTTGTGAGATTAACAAACTGCAAGGAGGCGGTTTCCCCAGGCATAGCCAGGAAGAGCTTGTGGGTCTGGGCACAACAGCAGTGGTGGCTGTTGTAAGAAAGCCATTCCCTTCTCAATTCTCTTTTAATCCCTTTGCTTAAGTCCAGGGGCGAGTCTCTGCTGGGTGCTGGCCTGTCTTGAATACCTCTCTACACCTTTTGAATCTTCCTTTTAACAAGGAGAGGGCAGGAGGAGCTCAGCTCTTAGAGGGGCAACAGGACCTACCCAGGTTTTATAACATTGTTTTAGCGTTACTTTTACTGTTGCCTTCTAGTCTCTGAGATACTCGTGTTCCATTTAGGGTGGCAATACAAAGTTTCTCTGAAAAATACATTTGTGATCATGGAAAAGCCAACATAAAGCAAAAGCATTAAAAGTATTACAAGTGGGCCAGACTGGGTGGCTCACACCTGTAATCCCCACACTGTGGGAGGCTGAGGCGAGTAGATCACTTGAGATCAGAAGTTCGAGACCATCCTGGCCAACATGGTGAAACACTGTCTCTACTAAAAATACAAAAATTCGCCAGGCATGGTTGTGCACGCCTGTAGTCCCAGCTACTCAGGAGGGTGAGGCAGGAGAATCGCTTGAAACCAGGAGACAGAGGTTGCAGTGAGTCGAGATGGTATCACTGCACTCCAGCCTAGGCAACACAGCGAGTTTCAAAAAAAAAAGAGTATTGCTAGTGCAGAAAGGGTCCACATTCATTCATTCCTTTTTTTTGTTTGTTTTGTTTTGAGACAGAGTCTGGCTCTTGTCACCCAGGCTGGAGTGCAGTGGCATGATCTAGGCTCACTGCAACCTCTGCCTCCTGGGTTCAAGTGAGCATGTCCTGCTGATTTTTGTATTTTGTAGAGAGGGAGTTTCACCATGTTGGCCAGGCTGGTCTTAAACTTCTGACCTCAGGTGATCCACTTGCCTTGGCCTCCCAAAGTGCTGGGATTACAGGCCTGAGTGCTTGCCTGGCCTCTCCTTTCCATTTTAAGATGGGAGAAGTAACAGCCTGTGATGGAAACGACCCGGGGAGAGTGGGTGCTACCTCAGCAGGTGGGTGGGGGAGCTGGTGGGAATTTTCTACTGATTCCTTCATTCGAAGTGTATTTATTAGGCACCCACTGAGTGCCAGGCTCTTTCTCAGGGCTAGGATAGAGGTTCCATTTTCTCAGGGCTAGGATAGAGGTTCCATTTTCTCAGTGGCTTAGGCACCGGATCATCAGCGGAGTGAGAGGATGGGCGTCAGCACTCAAGAGGTCACCCAATGGTTTCATTTTTTGCAGTCTTTGTTGTCCCAGAGGAATAAGAACTAAAATCACTAGGATTGTGACATGCTGGAAATATGGCATGTTCCAAAGATGGTAATATACAGTTTTGTGATACACAAATTGTGTGTGATACATTCCAATTCCTCACATTGAATAAATTACCAATAGCAATATGCTGTGAAGATGGGCGAGATGAGAGTGAAGAGAAGAAGGTATAGAGAAAGGATGGGGCGGCGTTAAGGATACAGCAAATAACTGGAATTCCGCAAACACTGGGGTGATGCAGGCACGCCCTTAGCACGGTCCCGGCAGGGGGCGGTGGGGTCAGGCCGACCCGGGTCCCAGGGGTGACAGCGTCCTTTCCCCACTACAGGACATCGAGGTACTCAACCCTCTGAACCTCAGTTTTCTCATCAGTTAAATGGGGAAAACAGGATGGTAACCCGTAATACTGGCGGCGCGGAGGCCGGGGAGCGATCCCTACCTGTTGGCCCGCGGGCTGGGGACGGTCCGCACCCGCTCCAGGGAGGAGCGAGGGT